TCTATCATTCAAGGGTTCATCTAATCGGTCAAATGCCAAAATCAGATGTGCAGCCATGTAGCAGGATCTCTGCTGATTGGCTGGATATAGATCTTTTGCTTCTAGACCTCCCTGAGGGACGGGGGGACTCCATTTGTAAGGGGCATGCAGGTGATGCAGCCTTACCTGTCAGGGTTCTGCCCTCTGCTTGGGTTTATTTTTTTTTAATCACTGTCTTTTTATTGAGTTTTCCTTTTATACATACAGTTTGTAAATAAAAAAATATATAATTGTCCAACAAAGTTAGATATAGAAACACATGCAGTAAAAACTTGGGTTTATTTTTAACTTTATTTGTGTTATCTTTCTTTGTAGTTTATTTCTACCACTGCTGAGGTCTTTAATTATCCTCTGTTGCCCCCTTGTGCTCGTTTTTTCCCCCTTTCCCATTGGCTTCCTCCCAGTTGGTCCTGCTCACACCTGCTCCCAATCTGCTCGTTAGTCCTGCCTTTGTTCATCCATCCACCCATTTTCCGACACGCTTNAACCTGACTATACCTGTACGGCAGAACATCATAATAACAGCACAGACGTCAACTTTCATTTCCAAACTTTCGCATTTTGTCCTTAGACAGGATTTATCTTAGAGGAGTATTATAATTCATAAAAATAACGCATCTAAATTGTTTCATAATTTATGAAAATAGGGTTATTTTTTTTTTATTTGCAGCACTTATATTTAAGGGAAACATATTCCAGGACATTACAGCTTCTTTCTTTTTTATGCTTTTTTTTTGTACTATATACAGTCTGGTCTAAAGTCTTACTCAAGAAAAAAAAATTGAGCAATTTAAAGTATGTTTCAAATAATAAAGGATGGCATAATCAAGAGATGAACGATATCACTTGAATATATATTTTTATTTCAAACAAAGATGTTAAATATTATGAAGTATTTCATGATGGATCCATGAGGACTAAAAACATAAATCTATTCCTCTTAAACTGGGTGAACTGGTTCTTGAACTCTGTCTGCCTGTTTAAACTTTATTTTTCTTCTTGAGCTGATAGAACAGCAGCAAAGAGGAGCCTAAATGTAGGTTCCACTACATAAACTGCCAGCGTGTGAGGTAAGGGGTAGTAGATGGTTCATATCTAAACAAACCTTGTGTTCGACTGAAACACCTGCGTGTTTTGCGGAACAACAAACCCTGGAACGCCGGAGATCTTCTTGGAAAACACCGATTTGACATTTTGATTCCAAAGATGAGGCAAAATTCACAGAAAATGTTACATCTTCCAAGTCTACCCCTGTTGTGTCTAGACATTTAACTTCAAGCAGCGTCTTGTTTCAAAAACATGTTCCTTTTTTTCAGCAATACCTTCATTAATTTTCACAAGTTTTAAAACCCAACATAGAAAATTAAGACGCTTTAAATCCAACCAATTAGCTGGTTAATGCTGCAGGTTCCCACCCAATACTGTCTTATATAGGGTAAT